TTTTGATTGATCCTCTGAGCTCGCATACACGCTCAGCTTCGAATACTCCATGTATCACATTGATAACACCTTGAGGTGGGGCGTCAATTGGCATTCCATTGGGGTTATTGTGGTCCTGGGAGCTGGTTGCGTCCCTCATTCAATGTATTTATCCAAGTGACCGGCTGCCACCAACTCCTCTAGATGCTGTCTTAATGGCATACAATTTTTAGTGCGGTGCCCCTTTTCTTTGTGGAAGGTGCATCGCGATCTTTCGTCGTAGTCCTTCTGAGCCTCTCCTAGCTTGGCAGGCCATCTAACGAAAGGTTCATTGCGTATCTCGCTTAGAATCCGATAGATTGGCTTTTTAAATACCGTGGTAATGGCGGTGCGGACTCTCAACCATCTTTTGTCCTGGTCTTCTCCATTGTTCCGTCTGTCTCGTCCGTTTTTGTTCGGACGTTCTACTGCGTTGACCTTTGTTGCGGTCTTTTTATCTGGTACTGCGGTCATGCTAAACTTTGCCTTAGCACAGGCGCCATCTTTTTCTGCCCGAATGTGTTGGTGCACTCTCTCCATTAAGGCCTCCAACCTGAGAGGCGGTGTCATAGTGATTGAGTCCCTTAGTCTGTTCTCGACTGGAAGGCCTCTTTTATACTATGCGATGGCGAGATTGGTGGGGCAGTCCCCAATCTGGTTGAAGGTCTCCCAGTAGCGGCTATTATAGGATTTTAATGACTTTTTTTCGCCCATGTCGATGGAGAGCAGTTGATTAATTTCTACCGGGGTTTTGGTGTTCGTTTTGAACCTCGTTACGAACGCCTCCGCCAATTGCGCCCAGGAGGCTATGCTGCCTTCTGAAAGTTTTTCGAACCAAGTCAAGCCTAGGTCACCATGGCTTGATGGGAAGAGGATGCACATCAAAGCCTCGTTTCGTCGATATACCGCCATAACCTGGCGAAAGTGGCTTAGGTGCATGTAAGGGTCTGTCTTCCCTTCGTACGTAGTAAATTTAGGCTGGATGAAGCCTGAGGGTAATGATGTGTTCTCAATCGCGGGAACGAACGACGAACTATGTAGTCTTGCCAATGCTTTATCTGTTGGTTCGTAGGCAAGGTGTGGTGCTGGCATTCCAACCTCGACGCTTCCATGCGTCCGAGGAGCCAGCCGCCGAAGGGCTGAAACTCTGTGTGGGTCGCATGCCCTAGCATCCTCTTTCTGTCGTGCCCTTTCTTCAAGCATAGTCCGTAATTCGGACGATCTGGGCAACTCCGTTTGCCTAAATGATATATGGTGCGTGTGTGAGGGCCGATAGGTACTTCCCTCTGTGTAAGACCTTAATGATCTCGTTCTCTCAGACCTGGAGTAACGAGCTCTAGAAGTCCTTGATTGAGTGTCGCTCGCCCTGAGGCTTCTACTTTCTGCTTGCGACGTCGTAGTATGCCTACTACGATCTTCTGAGTGGCGAGGAGGCGCATTGCCTTTGGGCTCCTCTCCTGTCGCCACCCCTTTTCCCTTGATCTGGCGCTTCATAGCCTCCATGTCCGCTGCCATTTTCCTTATTAATTCATCTTGCTCCTTCACGCGGTCCTCCAGAACTTGAGGATCAATCCTCCGCCTTTGTCTGTCAGGACTTCATAAACGAGAGTGACGGGGGCTGTTAGTCCGCCTCCTCCCCCTTGCATCCCTCTTGGGATTTTGTCGCTGTGGCTCCAAGTCCTCCATGGGAAGGATAGAAGGTAGGCCTTCGCGTCTTGTACCCCTCTCTGGTGTTTGTCCGTCGTTGGCGGACTGCGGCAAATCTTTGTTGTGCGCCATTGTTTCTAAAGAGGAAAAGCTTGATCAAGAGGTTTTGTTCTAGTCTGAAATTCCCACAGACGGTGCCAATTGTACGGGCACGAAATATTCTTCCCGTATAATCATGTTGATAAAGTCTGCGCTCCTCCGTACGACGTTGCTTTATTCCCTGAAAACACAAACGTGAGCTAGCCGGCGGGTGTGTGCCGGATACCTCTCCGATGCCTAAGTCAGCAAAATAGACAAAGACAAAAAGCTCTGTGTATTTGAGAATCAAAGTTGTGTGTTACCTCTCCATAGGTGATGTTATGAACTTTTATAGGTTCCGCGTGGCATAATCCTAATAGGACTCTTACTCCTCCATGTAGAGTCCTCCTAGGATTCATACTCCTGAAAGATAATGTTTATCCTTCAGCACCCCCCTCACTGCTTAAACCAAGTGAGATGGTTTTACCATGGCCAGACTCCAACATGATCGAGGTAAGCATGGCTATGCTAAGCCGCAGACTAGACCGAGATAACATTAACTCGGCTCTTTCATTCACTGCTCTTACCTTGGCTCTTCTTAATGCTAACCACAGTATGTCTAGACTGGAATAACCAATACTCCAGTCCAAACCGGGATAACTTTGTGAGTGATGACCGAACTTAACGTAAGCTCTTTGGGACCAGAGTAACTTCAGGTCTCTCTCGGACCGGAGTAACTTTACACCTCTTGCGGATCGGAGTAACTTTACACCTCTCTTGGGCCGGAGTAACTTCATGGCCTTTTTACTCAGCCCTTCGCACTGTGGCCCATAATGGCCCATTACCCAGCTCGGCCCAATTTTCATATAAATTACCCTCTCACCTAGTATTAAGGATCTTTCCTATCTTAAGTTTTGCTTAACATCCCCAAAATATTTATACCGGGCCAAAAAAAGTACGATATTAGGTTTATTAGATATTTTTTTATTAGTGAGAGATCCAATTTTTATGAAATAATTTGATTAGAAATCCTTTTGTTGTTCTCGAATGACATTTTGTTTTTAATTTTATTCCTTAAGTTTTTTGTTTACTTTTTTTATCTGTTGACTATCTGTTCAAAAAATTTCCTATCTGTTCAATTTTTTTCCTTATATATTTATTTTTTTTGACTATCAGTCAAATTTGTATCTATCTGTTGGAATATATATCTACTAAACCTTCTCGTAAAATCCTGTTGATCAAGTCCGCGCTCCTCCAGACGTCGTCGCCTTATTTCCTGAAAATACAAACGTGAGCTAGCCGGCGGGTGTGTGCCGGAAACCCCT